TATCTCTCCTTTACGTTCCCGGTCTCCCCTATCTCTCCTTTACGTTCTCGGTCTCTCTTATCTCTCCTTTATGTTCCCGGTCTCTCTCATCTCTCCTTTACGTTCCCAGTCTCTCCTGTGTCCCATTCACATTCCTGGTCTCTCCTGTCTCACCTACCAACCAACCCAGGGGACCATGCTTTGACATGAAGGTAGTGAACAGAGACACCGTTAGATACTGTCGGTATGGGGCTGGGGGAAAGCGCCCAGTGCCTCACAGCTAGTGGAGCCCAGTTGATAGTGCGGCTCACCTGCTGTTGTCTGTCCCCCAGGCGCTCTTCGTGAAGGTGGTGCCGTACCACTGCCTGGGCTCTATCTGGTCGCAGCGTGACAAGAAAGGTAAGGAGAACCTGGCCCCTACCGTCTGGGCCACTGTCCGACAGTTCAACAAACTCGCCAACTGCGTGATCAGCTCCTGCCTCAGCAACACCAAACTCCGGCCACAGCAGCGGGCACGCATCCTGGAGAAGTGGATCCGTGTGGCAGAGGTAGGCCGTGGGCACGTCAGTACCAGGGCTCTCCAACCGTGGGATCACCAGCTTCCCCCCACCACCCCGTCTCTCAGTTCAGACTAGCTCAGCAACTGGTTAACTAGTGTATTAACAGGCCATCACCCGTTTGTCTTTATTCATTCATGGGATTGAAGGGGCTCGCTGCCCAGACTGGAATATATTATCCATCCCTAATTGCCCAGAGGGCAGTTAAGGGTCAACCACACTGCTATGGGTCTGTACCGGAACGGGTAAGGATGGCAGTTTCCTTCCCTAAAGGACATCAGTGAACCAGATGGGGTTTATAACTAACAATTTCATCATCATCATCATCGTTCCAGATTTTTAATGATATCAAGTTCCACCCATCTCCCATGCCAGGATTCGAACCTGGGTCTCCAGAACATGATATAACAAGGTGTAGAGCTGCATGAACACAGCAGGCCAAGCAGCATCAGAGGGGCAGGAAGGCTGACGTTTCGGATCGAGACCCTTCTTCAGAAATGCTAGTTTCTCCAGAACATGACCTGGGTCTTCGAATTAATAGTTCTAGCTATTATTCCACCCGTCTGTCGCACCCTCCCAGCGATGGACGCAGTTCTGATCACACGCATTCTCCCATCTCCAAGGGTTCCCTGCAATCACACAATCTCGACAACAGCCCGATGTCGGCCGGTGAATTTGCAGAACGGGATAGCACCGAGATTTTGGGAATTGGAAACCTTCTGGAATTTCTCCTAGATCCTCGTTTCCCTGATGTGGTTTGTTGCTGTGTTAGGGAGTGTGAGGGAAGGTGGTCAGTGCAGAAAGTTTACACGACATAAGCCAAAGACTCAAGCGAGCTAAATGCTGAGTGTTCCCGACAGGAATTTGTCTGAAACTGACTCTGTTATTGCCTTTCCTCCCGTGTCCTCGTCTCTAGGAATGCCGGGCTTTGAAGAACTTCTCCTCACTCTATGCCATTATTTCTGCTCTCCAGTCGAACCCGGTGCACAGACTGAAGAAAACATGGGAGGAGATTCCCAGGTATAGTGCGGAGGGGCAGAATGGATCCCGATATTGGGGCAATGTTCCCAGAATGGACGGTATGCCCGGGGGAGTGGTGGAGGGGTTCATGGTGAACCACGTTCCCGGGAACCATCTGGCCAGTAATGGAGCAAAATTGCCAGATTCCCGGGAATAGTCAGCACTGTAGCCGCGACCCACGATTCCGAAGAACAGCATGAATCGGGATCGGTGTCTCTGTATTCCGGAAGCATTCCCAGATTCTTGGCTGTAATGTGGTGTTAGGGTCAGTGTCTCATTATGATGTGGTGTTCCCTGATTTCCAGCACAGTGTGAAATTGACATGAGTGCCTTTCTGTTGAAGGAATGCTCCTATATCCAGTGCAGAAGAGGGATACACTTCCCTGTACTAGAGCTATGTTCCCAGATCTCCAGGTATAGAGTGGACTGGGGCTAATTCTGCAGGTTCCGACTGATTGTACACAGCTAAGATTTCCCAAGAGCCATCTCCTCAGTCAGACAGTGTCAGAATAAATTAGATCAGTCCGCTTTTCCCTGGCTGTTCTGAAACAAGATCTGAATAATCTCTCTCTGGGGTTGTTGAGTAAGTACATCTTTGCGTCTCCTTCATTTCCAGGGAAATCTTTCGGAGTTACAATGAACTGTCAGAAATCTTTTCAGAGGAGAACAATTATTCCCAGAGCCGGGAGCTGCTGATCAGGGTGAGGAATTTTGATTTTGCCCGTAAAATGTAGATTTCTCTGTTCAATATTAACATGCTGCCAGTTGATGGTGCACTGCGAAATCAGAAAGATTGAATGTTGCGTGTAGCTGTAGATTAAACACAATAAATGGCAGATCCAAACGGTTACTTTTGTACAGATTATAGATTGATTCCTGGGATGGTAGGACTGATGTAAGAGGAGAGGTTGGATTAGTTAGGATTGTATTCGCTGGAGTGAATGGGGGGTATCTCACAGAAACCTATAAAATTCTAACAGGACTAGACAGGGCAGACACAGGAAGGATGTTCCCGGTGGTGGGGGGTTGGGGTGTTAAGTCCAGAACCAGGGGTCGCAGTCTAAGGATGAGGGGTAGACCATTTAGGATGGGAATCAGGGGAAATTTATTTTTGACCCACAGAGTAGTGAGCCTGTGGAATTCTCTCCGACACAAAGCAGCCGAAGGCAAAATCTTGCACATTTTCGAGGTGGGGTTGGGCAGTACTGGGCTAAAGGTGTCAAATGCTAGGGGTGAAAAGTGGATGATCAGCCGTGATCGTCATGAATAGCAGAACAGACCCGAAGGGCCGAATGGCCTACTCCTGTTCCTATTTTCTGTTTCTTTGTTGCTATGTCATGATTTTGAAGGGACTAATATTTATGTTTTTTGGGCTCCGCTTATTCTCCTGATTTCACACACTGTCTGTGAGTGGATAGGTCCAATTTAGCTTTCAGAAGGAGCTGATGGATCTGTTCCAACTCCCTAAAGTCCCGGGATTACTTTACAATGAGCTAGTGTAGTTTTCCTGATTCAAAAACAAAGTTGCTGGAAAAGCTCAGCAGAACAGTCCTGAGGAACGGTCACTGGACCCGAAACATTAACTCTGTTTTTTTCCTTCACAGATGCTGAGCTTTTCCAGCAACTTCTCATTTTGTTCCTGATTTACAGCATCTGCAGTTCTTTTGGTTTCTATTTAGTCTTCCTGATTGCTGTCCTTCAATGAAGTTTCTTGTTACCTGAGAACAGTACCCCTTCTCAAACAATTGTTACTCTGTACCACATACTGGGGATGATCATAGAATCCCTACAGTGTGGAAACAGAGCACTCAGCGCACACTGACCCTCCGAAGAGCGTTCCGACCAGACCCACCTCCCTACCCTATCACCCCACGGCTAACCCACCGAGCCTGCACATCCCGGGACACTTTAGAACGGCCAATCCACCTAACCTGCACATCTTTGGACTGTGGGAAGAAACTGGAGCACCCAGGGGAAACCCACATAGATGTGGGGAGAACATGCAAACTCCACGCAGACAGTCACCCAAGGCTGGAACCGAACCCGGGTCCCTGGCGCTGTGAGGCAGCATGCTAACCGCTGAGCCACCACACCGCTCCTGCGGGGTTTGAGATGCTGACAAGCACAGGTTTAGTTCCCACAGCAGCTGAAGTTACCATGAAAAACTCTCCTTCTCAAGCTCTCCCCTCACCTGAGACATGGTGATTACCCCCCAATCTCTCTCTTTAATGAGCCCTATGGTCTGGTCAGACTAAGGTGTCTTTACCTTGTCACATGCTGGTAGAAATGGCAAATACCCCAGGGTACCCGGAGTTAACATCTGCAAGAATAACGCCGTTAGAGGGCAGGACTTGTGCTGGAGAGTAAATGCTGCTACCAATAGATATTTTCCAATTAAGCTGTTCAGGGATGTTACGATACTCCTATGCAGCAGGTAGGATTTGAACACCGGCCTCCTGACTCAAAGGTAGGGGCAATACCACTGCACTGCAAGGAAAGGTGATGGCCTAGCAGTATTATCGATAGTTTATTAATCCAGAGACCCAGGTAATTGCTGTGGGTCTGGAGTCACATATAGGCCAGACCAGGTAAGGATGGCAGATTTCCCTTCCCTAAGCTGTACAGGACATTGGTCAGGCCACTTTTGGAATATTGTGTTCAATTCTGGTCTCCTTACTGTAGGAAAGATGTTGTGAAACTTGAAATGGCAGAGAAAAGATTTACAAGGATGTTGCCAGGGTTGGAGGGTTTGAGCTACAGGGAGAGGCGGAATAGGCTGGGGCTATTTTCCCGGGAGAGTTGGAGGTTGAGGGGTGACCTATAGAGGTTTATAAAATCATGAGGGGTGCGGATAGGGTGAATAGTCATGGTCTTTTTCCTGGAGTAGGGGAGTCGAAAACTAGAGGGCATAAGTTTAAGGTGAGAGGGATAAGATTTAAAAGGGACCTAAGGGGCACCATTTTCATGCAGAAGGGTAGGAGGTGGGGAGGGAGCGGAAATTCAGGGCCCAGTGCCACTGCAAGGCTTTTGCCACCTTTGATGGAGGTTGCTGTGTCGCCTAATCACTTGGATTGAAATCCCTCCGTCTTTGCCTTCATAGTGAGACTCCCATTGGCACTCCAATGCACTTGTGGTTCATCTGCCCACCCTGTCCTTGCCCCAACAGTACCCATTCTCCAAGGATAAGTCCCCTCTCATCCCACGAGGGTGCGTGCATTTAATGTGAGGGGGGAATGTTCAAAGGAGATGTGGGGGGTAAGTGTTTTACACAGAGAGTGTGGTAGGAGTCTGGAACACGATGCCAGGGCTGTTGGTGGAGGCAGATACGATAGGGGCGTTTAAGGGGCTTTTCGATAAGTGCGTGTAAGGAATGGAGGGATATGGACCAAGGAAGTTTAATTCAGCTTCATGTACGTGGGCCAAAGGTCCCATTCCTGTGCTGTACTGTTTTATGTTCTTTGATAGTGATGGCACGGTGGCTCAGTGGTTAGCACTGCTGCCTCACAGCGCCAGGAACCCGGGTTCGATTCCACCCTCAGGTGACTGTCTGTGTGGAGTTTGCACGTTCTCCCTGCGTCTGTGTGGGTTTCCTCCGGGTGTTCCAGTTTCCTCCCACAGTCCAAAGATGTGCAGGCTAGGTGGATTGGCCATGCTAAATTGTCCCATAGTGTCCAAGGATGTGTAGATTAGGTGGGTTATAGGGGGATGCTCGGAGGGTCGGTATGGACTTGTTGGGCTGAAGGGCCTGTTTCCACACTGTAGGGGTTCTAGTCTTGGTACCATTGGCATTGATTAGTGGGACACATCCTGGGAAATAAGTCCTGTGTCCGAGCGGTTGCTTCCAAGGGTCTGAAAATAAAAACCATGTCCTTGTTTTGATGAATTTGCAGGAAGGAACGTCAAAGTTCGCCACGTTGGACAAGAAACACCCGAAAAAGCCAAAGGACCAGAAAGTTCCCGTAAGTCTCAGTTTAACGTCTTGTGTGTTTGGAAGCGAGAAACGGTACCAATTTGCGGCTTCCACAAGAATGGGCCCAAATCTCCAGCAGCTGTTTATAGCTATCTGTGACGTTGGTAAGTTTATATGGTCTTGGGGTGGAAACTGGTCCAGACTGAGCAGGCATAACCGCAAACTGAAACTTGAGCAGCTCGGGATTGTTATGTGGAATCCCATCTAGAACACTCTCAACCCCGCAAAAAAAAACACAAATCAGGCTTGAGCGTCCTCCTTAGGCCGTGCAGATTAGGAGCAGGAGGAAACTGGCCGGCTTTGTGAGCCTGTTTCCTCATGGATAAATTCGTGGCTGGTTTGACTGACTTTTCCTCTTTTCCGCCTGGCCTTTGGCTCCTCTGTTAGCCAACAATCTACCTCTGCCACCTGCCCAAACTGTTCAACTTTCTTTCCTTATTTAAGCCATTTAAGGTGTATCCTGTCTGAACTCCTCTTGCAAAGAAGGAGACCAATGTTGAACATAATACATCAGATTTGGACCCCAGCAAAGTTCTGTACAGTGCAGTGACCTTGCGAATTCTATTTGCCTTCCTAATCACTTGCTGTACCTGCATACTAACTCCTTGTGATTCGTCTACCGGGTCCCCCAGATCCTTCTGCACCTCTGAATTGCGTATTGAAATAGCGAACTGCTTTTGTGTTCTTCCTGCTGATTTGGACCAGTGTACATCATCAGAAAAAGCCGTTCTTCGTTGATTCTCGTGATGTGGACCACTGCTGGTGAGGCCAGTATTTGACACCCGTCTTGGTGAGAGTGAACGTTGAAGCTGGTGGTTTGTGTGCCAGTCAAGCAGGCCATTGTAGTGTGAACTCTTGTCGAATTTCTTGAGTGTTTTTGGAGCTGCACCCATCCAGGCAAGTGGGGGACATTCCATCACACTCCATCTGAGTGGACACAGCCGACTTGGGTACGTGTTTGTGCTTATATTATCAAGCAAATAGCGGTTATACTTCAGCCCGTTTTCTTCGGATATATTTGAAATAGAACTGGGTTTTACTGTGATGTGTAGTCAAGTATGGGAGCACGGTGAGCAGTGTACATAGGCACCCACTCTCTGGCACCATCTTAGATACAAAGAACCAGAATTTCACAGAAACAATCATCGCAAATACAAAACCAAAACAACCATTTTAGATAGAAAAACAGAATGTTTAAAAAAAAAGTAGAAACAGAGCCAAGAAGAAAGGGAAGCATCTGTATCTTAAAGTCTGTAAGGTAAGTGGGCCGCCATCATTGAAGCCACAAGTTACTGATAACCTGGCCTCCTGAACTCATTCCTCAATTCCTGCCTTGTTGCTAGGTGTCTAGCATGGAGGGTATGCTCTCTCTCTTTCCCCACTTGACATAAGCACATTTTTGGTTTTTAATTCATGTGTGGGATGTGGGCGTTGCTGGCTTAGACCCAGCATTTACTACCCATCCCTAGTTGCCCCTTGAGAAGTTGGTGACGAGAGCCTTCACCTTGTGATCAGAGAATCCCCACAGTGTGGGGGCAGGCCCATTCAGCCCATCGAGTCCACACCAACCCTCTGAAGAGCATCCCACCCTGACTCACCCCCCTCCACTGTAACCCTGCGTTTCCCCATAGCTAACCCCACCTATTGTACACATCCCTGGACAATTCAGCATGGCCAATCCACCCTAACCTGCACATCTTTGGACTGTGGGATGAAACCCACGCAGACACGGGGAGAATCCGCACAGACAGATGCCCGAGGGTGGAATCGAACCCAGGTCCCTGGCGCTGTGAGGCAGCAGTGCTAACCCACTGAGCCACCGTGCCGCCCAGATGGAGAGGGGATTGGAAATTCCCCTCCAATCCCCGTTGGCTGCTTCAGTGAGCTGCTTCTCCAGTCCATGCGGCCGTACGCGATTCCACTCGCACGTCACGTCCTGCAAACACTGTCTCGGGAGCATGAGGAAAGGCAGCCGCTGAGTTCAGTTATCAACGGGACCGAGATACGCGAAGCGCTCAGCATGATCTCCCTGTGTTTTTGTGTCTCTACAGAACGTGGTTCAGGGCACAGTGCCGTACCTTGGGACCTTCCTGACTGACCTGGTTATGTTGGACACTGCAGTGAAGGACTATGCAGAGGTGAGTGTGCGTTTGGCTGTTGTCACAACATTGACGTTGAGGGCTTTATTCAAAGCAATGCTTACGGGGCTGGGATGGGCGGCTCTCAGGAGGGAATGCACAATGCTGCTCCCAGAGTTTTCCCCCCCCACCCCCCAAGTCTTTCTCGTCTTGTGTCCAGATCTTGTGAAGCGTAAACTCCCTCGGGGGCGGATTGCTTACACACTCCGTTCTTGTTCCCATGACACAACAGTGTATGGCTGCGGTTCAAGGTCGCACAGGAAAAAGTTTAAAGGAGCCAGGCTCTTACACAAAGAGCCTGCCCGCGCCCCCAATCGAAAATGACAAGGTGCATTTGTACGCCAGTCACCTCTTCGCTTCTCAGATCACCCATGCCAAGGAGCAGAGAAATTGGTGCACAGAAAGAGACCAGTCAATTAGAGTCGCAGAGTCATGGAGATATGCAGCGTGGAAACAGACCCTTCGGTCCAACCCGTCCATGCCGACCAGATATCCTAAATTAATCTAGTCCCATTTGCCAGCATTTTGCCCATATCCCTCTAAACCCTTCCTATTCACATATGCATCCAGATGCCTTTTAGATGCTGTAATTGTACCAGCCTCCACCACTTCCTCTGGCAGCTCGTTCCATACACGCACCACCCTCTGTATTAAAATGTTGCCCCTCAGGTCCCTTTTAAATCTTTCCCCTCTCACCTTAAACTGTGCCCTCTAGTTCTGGCCTCCCCCATCCTGGGGAAAGGACGTTGTCTATTCACCCTTTCCATGCCCCTCATGATTTTATAAACTTTTATAAGCAAAAATATCTTTGTGTGCTTGCATAGTCGCTGAAGCAGCTCAGTTCTGAACAGTGGCATATGAAGAAACGAACAAACATTGGAGTTTGATTCTATTCAGCAAACAAACCGAAGGGATTTTGTAGTTGTGCAAGAGTATATTTACATATATTTAAGGCACCGGGGAGGGGGTTTCCGATAACTGAACGGACCCCCATTTAACTTTGGCGGAAAGACTCCAGACGGTGGTCTTTCCCCACTGCCCCAGGGCAGCAGCTGCCCTGAGCTTTAGTGCGTCCCTCAGCACGTAGTCCTGGGCCTTGGAATGTGCCAGTCTGCAACACTCGGTTGGGGTCAGCTCCTTGTTCTGGAAAACCAGCAAGGTTCGGGCAGACCAGAGAACGTCTTTCACTGAGGTGATGGTCCTCCAGGCACGGTTGGTGCTTGTCTAGGTGTGCGTCCCACGGGAACTGGCCGTAGAGCACAGAGTCCCATGTCACGACGAGGCGGTCTGCCAATTCATTCAGTCTGCTCATGGAACCATGCAACAGGATCCACCCTCTCTCCTTTTTCCCCACGATCTTGAGGACGCTACGTGCTGACCATTTCCTGATGGTCAAAGGTGTTTTTCTCTCCGACTTTCTCCCCTTTTAACCAGCGCTCCAGCTCCCTGAGGGAAAGCATTCTGTGTTCAATAGGTCTCAGTACGACTCAGCTTTCAGCTATCACCATGACTGCAATGAATGTTCACCAGTCCCCTCTCAAATTAACAGGCTACTGCTGGTTTTCAAAGTAATGAGGCTAAGTCTGTGACCTGACAAAGGTCTTTACAAAGGTTGAATGCTTTGAGAATGTTTCCCCTCGTGGAGGGGGGGTGGGGGATGAGCGAAACTAGACATCCTCAACGTGAGATCGTTCCCAAGAAATCCGTTCAGAATTCGGAAGAAATTTTACCCAGAGCGAGATGGTGAGAATACGGAACGTACCATCACAGAGAGTGGTCAAGGTGAATAGATTTAAAGGGAAACCAGACAAGCGCATGAGAGAGCGAGGAATAATCGTTTGATGTTAGAAGCTTCTTTTCATTCACGGGATGTTGGCCCAGCATTTATTGCCCATCCCTAGTTGCCTCTTTTGAAGGTGGTGGTGAGCTCCCTTCTTGCAGTCCATGCACAGTAGGCAGACCCACAGTGGGGAGAGAGTTCCAGGAGTATGACCCAGCGACAGTGACCAAACGGCGATATATTCCCAGGTCAGGATGGTGAGTGGCTTTAGGGGCACCTATAGTTGGTGGTGTTCAGGTAAGAGAGGCTGGGTGGTTGACCGTAATGCCAGCGTTGGCAGGTGGCGCCGTGTGACTCGATTCTGTGTCCTACATCCAACAAAAAGTATCCGAATCCTTTCAGGATGTTGGATTCTCTCCTTTTTCCCAGGGTTTTTTTTCCAATGAAATGGATGGTGCGGGAGGGAAGCGATGGCGTGGGAGGGGTTATATGAGAGTGACAGACAGGCATATGAGAGGGTGGCATGGAAAGGCATGGGATAGGCACTACGTCGAAGGGAGAGATGGGGTAGATGAGATGACAAAATCGATTGTGTTCGTCTCACTGCGAATATTCGAATGAATTTCCCACTACCCTCACTGCAACGTCTTCAATGTCCTTCCTGTGATACAGCCCACAACTGCACACCCATTTCCGACTGTCAGGGACAAAGTCAGCATCGCTTCCTTGCTTGTATTTTTAATCACCCTTTGTGCGTGTGTAGCTCTCAGAATTCCATTTGCTTTCTCGAAGCATCTTCTGTTTTCACCATCAAGAGATCAGGTTAATCCGCGTTTGCTGATCTCTCTGTTTCTTGCTGAAAATTCTGCCACTTCTTGTCCTTTACCACAGAACAGGCCGGTTTGAGCATTGTGTTAGGTTTGAAAGGATTAATAGAGATTGAGTGTCATAAGCACCAGCCTCTATGTAAGTAGTTGTGCAGGTGTAATAACCTATATCCTCTTTACTATAAGGGACCCTTAACGTTAGACGAGAGGGTGGTTATCCTCATCCACAGGATCTGAAGGATTGTATACTTCGAAGTTATTGTTGGCAGCATATATATTATGGGCGTTTAGCCTCGCCACACAGCAAATTACTGGAACTGATCTGAAATCCACTGACCTCCCTAAATAAAAACCGAAAGAACTGCGGATGCTGTGAATCAGGAAAAAAAACAAAGTTGCTGGAAAAGCTCAGCAGGTCTGGCAGCATCTGTGAAGGCAAAAACAGAGTTAATGTTTGGGTCCGGTGACCCTTCCTTCAGAAGGGTCTCCCTGTTTGGGCGTTTCGTTGGCCAGATGTTTACCTGGCCCTCTGCTGCTCGACAACCCCATTGGCCAGTAGTAGACACAAGGCCATTCTCTCTGTGCTACTTCTGATTTTAACCGTGTGACCATTTTGCCACTTTGGAATCATAAGACATAAGAGCAGAAGTAGGCCATTCAGCACCCCCCAACCCCATTTGAGTCCTATCCCCCATTCGCTGAGATCGTAGTTTTACTGATAATCCTCAGCTCTACTTGCCTGCCTTTCCCACGTAAAGTGTCAATTCCCTTCACTTGTTGACTGGTCTTGGGACCGGACTTCAGAAAGGGATGTCAGACTGTGGGAAGGGTGCAGGAAAGATTTACTAGAATGCCGTCAGGCAACGAAACGATTTCAGCTGACCTGGAGAGATTGGGATAGGTCTTACCAGAGCAGAGTTGAGATGGAACTTGTTGGAGGCATCCAAAACTGCAAAGGGTTTTGATGGATTAAGTAAGGGGAAACTGTTTCCAGTGGCCAAAAGACACGGATTTGAGTTGTTTTGAGGGGGTGGCCAAATAAAAAAGCAGCAGTGGGCGTCATGAGGATATGTTGAAACAATGGGTTGTTATGGTCCAAAATGCACTGCCGGAAATGGTGATGGAAGCTGATAGAATCGGAATTTCCAAAAGGAAACTGGATAAATCATTACAAGATTACAGAGTTGGCTGCGGGTGGTAATAATTCGAACAGCTCTTCCGTGGAATTGGAAAGGCACACGAGGACAGAAAGTCTCCTGCCGCACTGCCTGATCCAAACACGTTCCGTACAATACCTCTCAACCTCTCAGCAGCCGTGAGAACTCCCGGGACGCGCAAGAGAACACGAAAGAAACAAGGCACTGGAGATTAGAAAAATCAGGACAACAGTAGTTCTGAGATAGCCCTCCTTGGATATTATTAGGAGGTGGGAGTTGAAAGCCAGCCTCCTGGCTCAGAAGTACCAATGTGCCCTGAGTGTCCCCAACAATCCACAATAGAAACCCCATCTTCACATCCCAAGAGATGATGGAAAACAGGTTCCAAATCCTGAGGCAGGATCGGGGTCGGATGTGCATAATTCACATTCATGCAGAGGCCTAGCTGTTAGTATCGGGGCGCCCCCATGTGGCACTGCAGTCATTTCATTCTTTAATGGAATCAAGGCAAGGGCCCATGCCCACGTGTCGCTGAAATTGAATGGCACCCTAGCCACTTTCACAGGGCAAGTTCACAGTCAGCCACGTCACTGTGGGTATGGAGTCACATACAGACCAGACTGAATCCATTTATTTCCCTGAGGGGCATTTGTGAACCAGCTGGCAGTAGGCTGGGGTATCTTCCCTGGAGCGTCGGAGGCTGAGGGGTGACCTTATAGAGGTTTATAAAATCATGAAGGGGTATGGATAGGGTGAATAGCCAAGGTCTTTTCCCCCAGGGTAGGGGAGTCCAAAACTAGAGGGTTTAAGGTGAGAGGGGAAAGATTTAGAAGAGGCCTCAAGGGCAGCTTTTTCACGCAGAGGGTGCTGTATGTATGGAACAAGGAAGTGGTGGAGGCTGGTACAATTACAACATTTAAAAGTCATCTGGATGGGTATATGAATAGGAAGGGTTTAGAGGGATATGGACCAAATGCTGGTAAATGGGACTAGATTAATTTAGGATATCTGGTCAACACAATTGAGTTGGGCCGAAGTTTTCCATGCTGTGCATCTCTTATAACCAGTCGATGCTCGCTGACTGTGACTAAAGCTGACTTTATTTCCATTATTAATTTAATTCACCTTCTGCTGGCCTGCGATCGTGGCATTATTAACCCAGTAAAAACGCCAGGACACAACCAGAAGGGATCGAAGGTCTGAACCAGCAGAAACGAAAACCTACCATGGCTTGATGCATTCAGGGTTGAAGAATAATGCGAACAGTGCAATATTGAGGAGCAGAGAAAGATCCACAGTGTGGATCTGTAATGCTGGACTTTTTATTTTTCTAATTTGTTTTTTGTCCCTAAGAATTTGCACTTAAGTATCTGTATCTAGGTACCTTTGTACCTAATATGGTGCTGTAAGTGAACTTTTCACACGACAGTAAAAACCTGACAGTAAAGCGAATTCTAATTCTAATTCTAATTCATTACGATCTGAAAGCAGACAAAACACCAGAGTAAGCACCCAGAGCCAATGAAGCGAAAGTGAACACCTGAGACACATCCCTCTCTGACTCTCCCTCAAGTAATAACAAGAGATTACACGGAATTACATCAATCTCCCAGTACCAAAACTGACCATTCATTGCAACTTGCCAGTGCTGATGTCTATCTTCCGCTTGAACTTCTTCCTATCCCTTTGTTTCACTCAACCAGTCCATTATTCTCTTCTTCCTCATGTACTTTTATAGTTTATTCCTTTCTCAGGGTGCAGGTTCACAGTTCCTTGAAAGTGGAGCCATAGGTAGAGAGGATAGTGAAGAACGTGTTTGGTACGCTTGCCTTCATTGGTCAGAACAATGAGTAGAGGAGTTGGGAGGTCATGTCGCAGCTGTACAGGGCATTGCTGCGGCCACTTTTGGAATACTGCGTACAATTCTGGTCTCCCTTCTATAGGAAGGACGTTGTTAAACTTGAGAAGGTTTAGAAAAGATTCATAAGGATGTTATCGGAACTTGGGGGTTTGACCAATAGGGAGAGGCTAAATAGGCTGGGGCTATTTTCCCTGGAGCGTCAGAGGCTGAGGGGTGATGTTATAGAGGTGTATAAAATCATGAGGGGCATGGATACAGTGAATAGCCAAGGTGTTTTTCCTAGAGTTGGGGAGGCCAAAACTAAAGGGCATAGGTTTAAGGTGAGTGAGGGAAGATTTACAAAGGACCGAAGGGGTAACTTCTTCATGCAGAGGATGGAGTGAACTGCCAGAGGAAGTAGTGGAGGCTGGTACAATTACAACATTTAAAAGGCATCTGGATGGGTATAGGAATAGGAAGGGTTTAGAGGGACATGGGCCAAATTCTGGCTAATGGGACGAGGACAGATTGGGATGTTGGTCGGCATGGATGAGTTGGACCAAAGGGTCTGTTTCCGTGCCACACACCTCTTTGACTCTATATGCTTATCCAGTTTAGCCTCAAATGCATTCATAGCATAACTCCCAACTACTCAGCATATCCCCCAACGACTCAGCATATCCTCCAACTACTCAGCGTATTCCCCAACTACTCAGTGTATTCCCCAACGATTCAGCGTGTCCCCCTAACTACTCAGCATATCCCCTAACTACTCACCATATCCCCCAATTACTCACCGCATCCCCCAACTACTGACCGTATCCCCCAACTGCTCCTTGTGATCCAAACACAAAGAATGCTGGGAGGAAAAAGACTCAGCAGGTCTGGCAGCATCCATGAAGAGTGAAAAGGCAAGAGTTCACACTTGGAGTCTGTTGTGCTGCTTCTCCAGAACAGTTTTGTGTTTGCCTCAGACTTGCAGCATCTGCAGTAAGTTGCTTTTACTCCTTCTGGCTGCACATTGTGGATTCTGACCCCCCCACCCCGGGGTCCTCTCTCTAATGAAAGAGTGCCCCCCCTTGGTCTGTTAAGATTATGGAAACCTCACCTTTCTCAGGCAGTGCATACACAAATGAACCTTACAGTGATAGCCTCTGGTTTCGCTCTCGCCCGCCAGCAGAAACACCCTTTCCACGTCTACTCTGTCTAACCCTTTCAGAACGTTAGAGGTCCCAATTAGGTCACTCAAACATACTAATTAGGAGCAGCAATAAGCCAATTGGCCATCCAAGCTCACTCTGCCATTCTGGGAAGTTGTGGCTAATCTAATTCCTCCACTTTTCTGCCTATTCCCAGCATGCTTCCACTTCCCCTTCCCCCCTCACCCACCCTTACCGATCAAGTCCCTTTTTAACTTCTGCCTTAAAAATATTCAGGGACCTTGCCTCCACTGATTGTAAGGAAGAGAGTTCCAAGGTTCACTACTTTGTGAAAAAGGAAATTCTCCCTTATCTGTCCTTTCTTGACCCTTCTTACGTGACTCCGAATCCTAGGTTATGTCAAAGTTCACGATTTCCACATCTACCCTGTCAAGTCCTCAGGGGAACTTATCAATGAAGTTGCCTCTTAATCCAATGCAAACCCAGGTCTGACTAACTTTTCCCCGTAACCTAATCCTCTCGTTCCAGCTATCACCTTGCTCTGAACTGCTTCCTTAAATAAAGTGACCAGTACTGTGCACGGATGTGATCACACCAGTGTCCCCTCTAACTGAAGCATGACCTCCCTAATCTTGCCCCTTACTTCCTCTCGCGGGAAATGGAACAAATCATTAGCTTTCCGGATTACTTGCTGTATCTGCTCACCTTCCCAGCCTTCTCTTTCGGAGGGAAAAGGCCACGACTAGTCAAATCTTCGGAATCCATCCACCTCTATTTCTGTCTTCAACCAGCTCCCTCTTCACAGTATAAATTCCAGGAAAGGGCAGGGAAGAAGGCTTTCCCAAGTCCTTAAAGAGGTGGGAAAGGGAGGGCTCTTCAACTCTTTTGGAACGTAACCGCAAATGACGTTTTCTCTCTCTCTCTCTTTTCCAGAATGGACTGATTAACTTCGAGAAGCGGAGAAAGGTAACAGTTTCTGTGGGCAACGTGCCATTTCCTGCTGCTGTTTTCTGTTCGTCCCTTTGGTGCTTTATTTCTTTTTGTTTCAACTCTTATTTTTATCCCGGGGGGGGATCGTTGGGAATGACAGGAATTTGAAATCATCGCCCAGATTAAGTTGCTCCAGAAAGCCTGCAAGAATTACAGCTTTGAGAAGGATCCGGAATTCCTGAACTGGTTCTACAGCTTGGAGACACTCAGTGAAGCCGAAAGGTGAGACAGCTTGTAACTTCCGTGGCAGGGGTCTTTGACACTGAGTGCTTTCTTCATCAGCGGGGACTTATCTCCCCCTGGAGTGTAGGAGACTGAGGAGCAGCATGGGCATGGGGCGAGTGGCGTAATGGATAACGCGTTTGACTTTGGCTCAGCAGATTGTAGGTTCGAATCGTCTCTAGCTCGAGGGCAGCTCACAGCTATTAGGGGAGGTGGTGACCTAGTGGTGTTATCGCTGGACTGTTAATCCAGAGACCCAGATAATGCTCGGGGGACGCAGCTTCGAATCCCGCCACGGCAGATGGTGGAATTTGAATTCAATAAATATCTGGAATTAAGAGCCTCATGATGACCATGAACCCATTGTCGATTGTCAGGAAAAACCCATCTGGTTCACTAATGTCCTTCAGGGAAGGAAACTGCAATCCTTACCTGGTCTGGCCTACATGTGACCCCAGACCCACAGCAATGTGGTAGACTCGTAACCGATTAGGGATGGGCAATAAATGCTGCCTTGCTAGCAACGTCCTCATCCCATGAATGAATGAATAAAAAAAAAAGGTCTATAAAATCATGGGAGGCATAGATAAGGCAGATAGCCAACAGCTTTTCCCCAGGGTAGGGGAGTCTAAAACTAGAGGCTTTAAGGGGAGAGGTAGTGATGGAAGGTGGTACAATTTAAGAAGCATTTAGACAGGTACATGGATGGAGGGGTATGGACCAAATGCTGTAGACGTCTGTGACTCTGTCAACCTAAATTGTCTGACTCAGGATAGTTTAAACTTGTCCGTTCCCTGAGACAATTAATGAGAATGAAGGAATAAATGGTGAAAGTTGAGATGCACATACAGGGTTGATGGTCAGAATCTTTTGTCCCAAGAGTTGAAATGTCTAATACAAGGGGGCATGCATGTAAAGTAGGAGGGGGCATAAGTTCAAAGGAGATGTGAGGGGCAAGTTTTTTTCTTACACAGAGAGTGGAAGGAACGTGCTGCCAGGAGTGGTGGTGGAGGCAGGTACAGTAGGGGCCTTTAGGTAAGTACATGGATATGCAAGGAATGGAGGGATATGGACTAAGGGAAGGCAGAAGGGATCAGTTTCATTTGGCGTCACGTTCGGCACAACATCATGGGCCGAAGGGCCCGTTCCTGTGCTGTACAGTTCTGTGTTCTATGAAAGGCAAGGCGTCAGTCTCAACTTTAGACTCACAGAGGCCTGTGCCACAGAAAAAGGCCCCTCAGTTCAGGAACAAAAACAAAAGTTGCTGGAAAAGCTCAGCAGGTCTGGCAGCATCTGTGAAGGAGAAAACAGAGTTAACGTTTTGGGTCTGGTGACCCTTCCTCAGAACCCTTTCCTCAGTTCAAAAGCAAAAATCAATCAACAAACTGTTCTAATCCCATTTTCCCCAGCATTTCCCCATCATTGCCTTGTATGCCTTGGCACTGCAAGCGCACACCTCAATAAACACTTGTTAAATGCTATTCGGGTTTCCACTTCTACCACCCTTACAGTTGCACAATCCCACCACCACACTCCGGGTGAAAATATTTTCTTCACGCCCCCTTCTAAGCATCCTGCA